AAAAGAGTCGGGAACAGACAACCGGCATCGACCGGCAATGCAAGTGTGTGTGTGTCTCTCCGCCCCTCCTCACGTTGGTACGATAGCATGCGCTGGTTGAGCTTGGTCCGGCGGTGCACAGGTCATTCGAGACGCTCTGCTTCGAATCGGGATTCAGCAGACCGAATCAAGGGTGCAGGATTGAAGGTTGCGGGTTAGGCTCCAGTTTCTGCGAAAGGGTCGAGAAGTCGAGGATGAAAGACTGGGTTGCATCCGGTGATCGTTGCTTGTCAATTTTCGTCGATGTTTGGGTTCCCTTTACCTTGTGCATCTGCGGTGTCACATTTATGCCCTAACACCTAATCTCTTATTTAACATGTTTTACCAGACATTCACAAAAGGATTCCTGTTGTCTTTGTTTCCTAACGGCCGCCCACTTCTGCCTTGTATGCCAACCCTATGCAAAAGATCAGCAGACCTAGTCTAAAGGTCTCAGTATGTAATTAATTTGTTTATTCATTCATTAATTAGTTAGTTATTTATTCGATTAATTATAATGAGGGATACCAGCACCAATCGCGAGTTATGAACCTTGTCGTACACCGTGCCGCGCGTCAGAAGTCAAGCCAGGGACTGGAGAGAAGAAAAGATGTAATGTAGGCCTTAATAATTAGAATAGGTTTTTGGGGCCATTTTACTACAATCATAATAAGGAACCCCCAACATAGTATTGGTAGTTATTTAGGCCCCTATAGCAGACTGACATGACCGTGAGATTGTGGGGTGGGAATCCTTGGGGATATAGACGCTCTCAACCAGGTCCCTTTTAAGGACGCCAGAAAGTAGGGCGAAGAAGGGTCCCCTTTGAGGGATCTGACCCGAATACTGCCTAGGAACGAGGAGCATTGTGGAGACCGCCGTCTACCTTCCGGGTTGGGATTTACAGACATTTGGAAGAAGAAATGAACTTCCAGACGGTCACGGCAATGCCGCTCTGTCCGTTTCACGGCCCGGCCTAGCCCACATGCGAGCCTGTGCCCTAAAAACGCCAAACTCTGAACTCTTCAACTCAAGACCATAACCCACACCTTCAAAAAACCCTATGAAGGAGGCCATAAACTTTCAATAAACCCTTATGAAATGGCAAAAACCTTCAATAGACCCTTATCGAAACGTAAACCTTCAATGTGAAACCGCAAAAACCTTCAATAGACCCTTCTGAAACCGCAAACCTTCAATACACCCTAAACCCTAAACCCTAACTCATGAAACCGTAAACTCCATAAGCCGCAAGGCTCCCGCCCCCCCCCCCCTCCGGTTCCTCCACCTCGCTGCTGCTCTCCAGCGCATCACCAAACTCCACTGCAGGCTCCGTCTGCAGATGTGCGGGTGCTTGCCGGTTTAGGGTTCAGGGGTTAGGGGTTTAGGGTTTAGGGGCCTAGGAGTTTAGGGTTTAGGGGTTTTAGGGTTTAGGGTTATAACTTTAAAACCTAGGATGCTGGATGTGGTTGTTAGTTCTGGGCTTTGGTTTGAAAGCTTGAGGGCCAGTCGAGATCCTTAAGCTGAGTCCGAGCGGGATTTTGGGACTTTTGAAACGAACTCCGCAAGGGTTTCAGCAATCACAACTGGGACAAGCCAGGTTTAGGGCTTTGGGATTTTGGGGCTTTGGAAATGAACTCTGCAAGGGGCCATGGTTTTGACAAGTTCGGAGATTTGCGCTGTCAGCGCAGTGACAGCCATCAAAGAACACCGCAATCATTCTCCAAGGCTTGATGGTATGGTAATTGATCCTACCTTGACCTACCAAAACCTACTTTTTGCAGTGTCCCTGAAAGTCTTCTTATTCGATAAAAATAATAGGAACCTACACAAAGACATAAAGGTAGGCCATGGTAGTTTAAGGTAAACCCTGCATCGCGACCCCTAACTCCAACCTCCACCACGGAGGCTGGGTAGGAGCGTCTCTCAAACTCATCGTCGTCAAGGTCCTGGGCCGTCGCGCAAGAGGTGTTGACCCGAACAGCTGCAGACAATTAAGCAGTCTGCAAATGCAAAGATGCACATCTACATTCATGTGTGTATGTATAGAAATAACTATGTGAACATGCACATACTTACATACTATGTCACTATGTGTATGTATCTACTACCATATATATATATATATATAGAGAGAGAGAGTTATGTAAGTTTTGTACTACAGGCAGACTTCCCCATGCAGTTTGGATGTTGCTGCCTCTATGATAGCACAGCCTTCCGCGTAAAACTTCAGGCCTGAGGGGTCCAGGATGGTGTAGGATTCGGTGGCTTTTTGCTTGGTTGAATTAGGGTTTAGGGTTTAGGGTTTAGGGTTTAGGGTTTAGGGTTTAGGGTGGATGTGAGTGAGTGAGCGAGGCTTCAACTGTGAAGCTTGTTCTTGACATCTGTACTCCCGTAAACAATCAAGGGTTTAGGGTTTAGGGTTTATGGTTTAGGGCCTCTACATGGGCCGGAACGGGAACAAATGCCGCTTAGTTGTTGACTGAAACTCGCACACCGCATCCAAGCCATGTCGCCGATTCGGGCGGGAGGTCACCCAACTTGGGGAAGTTACCTCGCCAAAATGCACGGAATATCATCGTCATGGCTCAGGCTCCAGCGGAGGTCTTACGGGTAGTACCCTAACCCCTGACCCCGGCATGTAGTATCAGATAAGAAGCAAACCCTCCGTAACCCCAAACACTCAACCCGACTGCAAGAACGCAGCTCCCCAAGCACACATTTGAGGCTGGGTTGACGAAGTTTCGAGTCTCAAGAATGCCAAGCCCGAGATGTCAAACCCACAGGTCATCTATAAGGGCCTTAATAATTTAAATAGGGTTTTTGCAGCATCTTATCTTCTTGAGAAAGCTATCCAAGGATTCTATACTCCATACTCGAATCCGCAAGCTCCCCGAAAGACTTAAAAAAGGCTAGACTCCTCAACCCGCTTCATACTACGCCCCAGGCCTTCTCAACCTTCAGCTAATAGGAAGCTTTCTAGGAGCTCTTCTAAGCACCTTTCTAGGAGCCCTTATAGGAGGAATCCGTATCATTGCGACCATTGTAAGTCACCTTAAGGGACCCATGGCTTCGGAAGGACGACTCAAACGAAAGCCGCCCTGAATCATAACAGTACTTGAGCATCGAAGACTGCCGCGAGTGGTGGTGATGATATGATGGTGACCAGGGCGAGAACAGCCATGACATCCAGAAGCCTGCTGGAAACCGCCATGGTTTGAGTAGCGAGCACAAACAAAATAGCATAGCAGTCATCCTAAGCACGAACGACCTATCTCCTGAGGAGTACCGAAAGTCTCCCTGGTAGTTCCTTGTTAGGATCTCTTGTGCTGTCCAAACAAGATTTTCCACTTTTGGGGGCTCCTTACTATAATTATAGTGTACTGGGCCCCAAAACCCTATTCGAACCATTGAGGCCCCCAAACTCTGAACCCTTAACCCTAAACCCTAAACCGTGGTTAACCCTCTTCTAATTATTGAGGCCCCTAGAGGAGGCAAGTCCCGCCTGCCGAAAGGGTCTTGTGCGGCACCCGGTCTCGGATTAGGACCTGCAGCAGGTCGACTTCAAGTCTGAACCACCCCCTTGCTAATGTAGGGGCCTTGATAATTAGAATAGGGCTCCTTTAAAAGGGCCCCATCGAAGGGTAACACTGTAAGGGCTCTGCTATACGGGTCTAGTGTACGGGCCTTAATAATTAGAATAGGGTCTTGGGGTGGATTATACTCTAAGTTATAATAAGGAACCCGCAAAATCATATAGGTAACTATTTAGGCCCCTACAGTACACCTTATGAGCTTAGAGCCTAGCGACTTTCAACATCGACCCTAGAGTCAGTTTCCAGCTAGTTTGTTTGCTTCCTACTTAGCAAGGACGAGCCCGCATTGCAGGGTAACATGACGTCTCAGGATATGCACATCAAGCCTCACTTTCAGCTCGATTAATTAGGTGGAGAGACCTCTCACAGGCAATCCACTACAGTTCCAGATCAAGGGTTTAGGGTTTGGATAGCATTAAGAACCGTCATGTTGATTCAGTTTTGATTCGTGTTGAGTCTAGGCACATAGAAATGTAAAGTGCTACCCAACTATGGCCAAGAGTTTGATCTAGCTAAGGTCTATCAATTAGTTCTGGTGGATTGAAGGCCCAGACGTATACCTTTCCTGAGTGAACTAACGCAGAATCCGAGCTCTAGGCCACCCCTTGACGGGCCTGAGTCCTGAGTGTGCGCGTCAGGGGTTATGGGGTTTAGGGCGGTGCTGTTGAGATATTATATTCAAGGCATACCAATAAAATATCCAGGGCAAACCCCCAACTCGAAACCCTAAACCCTGATAAAAATCATGCACTAAACCCTAAACCCTAAACCCTAAACCCTACTAGACCAAACTCCATAAAGATGAGCCCGACATCCGCCTCGTCGGGAAGCTTCTTTGGCTCGGGACTGATCCCCCGGGCTGCTCCCGATGCCTCGATGCTTCGTAGGGCTTATGGTTTTAGGGTGTGTGTTATGTTTAACCCCCTTTTTGATACCCTAAACTATAAGTTGGAGGGTTTTAAATGAGGCTTGTGGATGGCTCTGGTTCTGGGGCTTTGAGTACAAGACTTCTCTTTTTGGTTCGTAGGTGCAAAGTATATAATAGGGACCCTGCGATTTAGGCCCGGTTTTGTTCAGGGATCACGGTTCAAAGGGTATTTGTCATGAGCATCCCCTCTGTTCTGAAACTCCCTTCTGGTTCGTGGTTCTTGGCAGAGTGGAATGGGGTGCTACACCCAGCTGTGCCAAAACCTCTTAAGCCAGAGATCTACTTCAAATTCTAAGTGGCTTCATATCATGGGTTAACGTCCATTCCTCGACTCAACACAACCTCTTTGGCTCTCTGAATAAGGATTTTGCAGGTGCTCAGGTTTTCTAGGATGCAGGGGTTCTGTGCTTGGTGTTAGGGCTTCCGGTTCAGGATTTGGGGCATCCCCTTTGCTAGCTTAGGGTTTAGGGCTTCATGCATGGAGAGCCTCCGCGATGAGGATTGCCGTGTCTTGGGGTGATGGGTAGGGGGGGTTCAAGGTAATCAGGACCCTAGCACTAGCTCCACGGATGATGACGATGATGATGATGGCGATGATGATAATGATGATGATGATGATGCCGATGATGATGATGATGATGATAATGATGAGGATGGTAATCATCATGATGATGACAATGGTGATGATGATGGTGATGATGATGATGGTGATGGGACTCCTCAAACCTAACCCCGGAGCCCGAGGTTTCAGCTTCGAGCTAGGTGCCAGTGAACAGTTTGCAAACACCAAACTCTCAATCCTAAAACTCTGGGCTCGTGCATCCGCGCTTTTGCGGTTCCTCCGCCTAAACTCTCTGGCATAACAGTCCCCTCATTGAGCACCGTCCCACCTTGCGTTTTAATGATACTCGGGGTCCTCGTAAAACGGACCTAAAAGAAAGAGGGTATTGATCAGGCGCCTAGATAATACCTTCCGGAAAACCCTTGAAACCCTCGTCTCTTATAGTATATGCATATACGCATATGAGTAAATGTTTCCATATATACTTATATACAGACATACATACATACATCCATGCAAGCATGCATTGATGCATGTACGGATGTACTACGCTACGCAATGCTATGCTGTTTCACATCATCTTTCAAGGTATCATATCAGATCACATCATATTGCACTGTAGTGTATTATCTAATTGGACATATGCTGTAAATTGTTCTTTAAACTTATATTACGGTAATTTCTTATATTACATCACCTGGCGGTATGTTTTATCATATACCTGCATTACAATACAGTAAATTTCTACAGCTTATATTATACTATATTATGTTAAATGGATTTACATTTCATTATACTACATCGGAATAATATGCTATATGATGTTTCTATGCTACAGTAAGAAAATATTGGTGCTCTCTTTCATAATTTCATGACTGTATACTATGGCATCTTATATTAGACTCTGATACAGTATGTTCTATTACCTTACAATGTACCATGGTGTACTGTAGTCTTTTAAACAGACTATCATACACAACACAAACATACTATGACAGAGTGTGTTTCATTACACTAGTTCTGTTATGATATGATAAGTTCTGCTAGCTTATCTTGTATTGAAATATATTTTAATGTATTAGACATTCTGCTTATTCTGTTCTATGGAATCACATATATATATATATATACATATAGAAAGATACATACATTAAATTCGATCCAAATTTATAGCATAAGCACACACTCACACATCTGCATAGAGAGAGAGAGAGAGAGCATATGTAAACATGTATGTGTGGATATATTCTATGGCTATATGGGTAGTTCTCTAAGTTAGGGTCCCTTTTTAGGTCCCCAATATAGTACGGCACTCTTTTAAGGACCCTAAAAGGGACCCTAGCTTAGA